GCCTTCCCTCCCTGCACACTCCCCCCCACCCCCCACCCCCCTGGTGCTGACTGCCCATCGCCAGGGGATTCAAAATTACAGAACTAACGGGCTCGGCAGGTAAATGGTGTTCCTGCAGGGCAGCTGGGCCCGGGACTCCATTGTCAGGGAACTGCTCATCTCAGAGAGAGAATGTTCTGGCTCAAGTCCCGACAGCCAGGAGAGCCGCCCTGCGGGACTGCAGACCCAGAGTGGGTGTGGGAGCCCAGGGACGATGCCAAGACCCTGAGAAGCCTCCCTCTGTCATGGCCACGGGCTGAAGGTCTGCCAGGCTGGGCCTGGACAGGGAGGGCCAAGGCAGGGCACAGCAAGTCTCTCCTGGATGGGCCCCGCGGGTGGGAAGTGAGGGCTGGGCCAGGCACCCACTGCTCGCAGCCTGGGGCCAGGGCTTGGAGAGCAGGGCCCATCCTGAGGGCAGCAGGGCCTGACAGGAGGCAGGCTGGTCCCCTGTGGCAGCCACCGCTAGTCCCACTGAAGAGAAAGGTGGGGGGTCGGGGAGAGAAGCCCACTTGTCCCCCACCCCGTGAAGCTTGGCTGCCGAGCAGAACGAAGACCGTGACCGTTAGAAACCCGACGCGGGAGAGCGGCCTGGGTGGGGTGTGGCCAAGGGGAGGGGGGTGGCCAGGCTGACCCTGGGGGCGGGCAGAGGGCTGGGGACGGCAGGCACAGCACCGGCCTTCCTGCAGCCGCGACAGTAGCAAGAGCAGCAGGGTCAGCGGGAGGGGGGTGCCTCGTTCCCTCTGGAGCTCACGGGGCCTCGTTGGAGCCAATCCCGTTGCCTTTGTTGACGTAGAATGGCCGGTGGTGAGACTGCGGGAACAAGAGTAGTTAGGGGGTGCGCATGGCGGGGACCCCATTAGCCAGACCCACCCCACCCTAACCCCCGGGAAGCGGCAGTGGTCTGAACCCCAACAATTCTACAAGCTGTGGCCTAACCTGCAAGCTCGATCTATGCTGTGATCAGGATCGGGTGCCCATGTCAGTTTCCAGGTTCAAATCCTAATTAGAGTTTATTTCCCTCCATTGGTTGGTGAGCTTGAACCTCAGCCCCTCGTCCAATTCCCTCCATGGCCCAGGGCCTCCCAGCCATTGCAGCTCTCGCTCTGCAGGGCTCTCTACTCCGCAGAGCCACACGCTGCTCACACACGGACTTGTAGGATTGCAGCCGCCACCCGTTACCTGGGCTACTGCTCTCACGCCCACTCTCCAGGTGAACAAACCGAGGCGCTGCGAGGCTAAGCGATTTGCCCCGGTCACAGCTGGTAAGTAGAGGAACCGGGACGCCAGGCCCAGCAGTCTGGTCCCGTGCACCCACCATCCCCACCCATTTCTCCAAACCACTTCAGGGTCTCGAGGGCTTTGGATGTTTGCTGCTCCCTTTGCCTGAATCTCCTGACAGAGGCGGTAGAGAGAGGCCTGCGCCCGCCCCAGCCCAGCAGGGACCACGGCGTCTCAGCCCCTCCTCTTCCATCCTGGCTCCTCCTCGGGACTCAGGAAGCACCTTTCAGGACAGAGCCAGCGACCTCTCCTGCCAGGTCTGTGTGTGACATCCAGCAGCGATTTCACATAATCAGCGCTCCCCTCGCTTCCTAGGCCCTGGCAGGCACTGGGACCCTGACCCTGACCCAGGAGACACCAGGCGCCCCCAGCCCTGTCCTTGGCCTTGCCAGCTTAGACCCTGTATTTCCTCGGACTCCTTGCTGCGCCCTGTCCCCAGCAGGCCTGGGGCCTGGGGAACGCGGGGCGGAGGCCTCAGCTCATGCCTCAGGGACCCCACCTATAAGCAAGGGAAGAGATGGAGGCCAGGGAGGGAATGACAGGCAAGGCACACAGCCACTGAGCCGCAGCGACCAGGTCTCCGGACCCCCAGGTGCCCACTGGACCCCAAGCCTTCAATACAGCAAAGGGAATGGCCTGGCCGTGGCTGCGCCTTGCTTTCAGGGAGGCGGGTCAGTAAGACAGGCCGCAGGTCAGTGAACAGTGCTGTCTCTGTGGGCCCCGAGTGGTGGGTGGGTGGAGACACACAGCCCAGGCACCTGGCAGGGTGTGCTCCCCCCACACCCCCGTTCCCTCTCTGGGTCGCAGTCACAGCCTGTGAGGGTTGGAAGAGCTATGACATCATCCCAGCCATCTGACTCATGTTACAGATGGGGAAACTAAGGCACTGAGGAAGAATGGCTCCCATGAGGTCACAGGGCAGGTGGTGAGAGGCCTGGGGCCAGCCCCTCCCTGGGCGTAGAATCCCCTGCCTCTGCTCCCAGCTCTGGGCATGGCTGCCGGCACCAGGGCCCAGCCAGCCCGGCATCTGGAGGTGCCATGAGCCCCCTCTATGAGATGCGGCTCTGGGACGTGGGGGACGGGGCGGGGGGACGGGGGCTGAGCCCAGGAGCAGGGGCTTCGACTCCCCTCACTTGCTTTGGGCACCTACTGCTGCAGTGCCCTGGGCCCGGCTCTACGTCACACACACTGTCACTCAGCTCCAGGGGCCAGAAAGTTCAAGGTCCTCCCAGCTAGCCAGCCTCTTCACTCCTGTGGCCCAGGTCCAGCCCCGCCCTGTGCTCTGACCTCCTGTGCAAAGGCGGCAGGAGCAGCCTGTCCTCAGCAGGTGCGCCCACCTCCCAGGGCAGCGGGCTGACCCCTGCAGGGCTGGCCTGGCCTCCATGGGAGAAGCCTGTGGAGACGTGCACAGCGTTTGAAGGTCTGATCGCTGAGGTCTGTGCAGGGCCCGGCATGTCTGCTACCGAAACCTAAACACATCTGTTCCGAAGTTTGCAGATGCTGCCTCAGCTCTCCCACTGCCTCGCCAGATGCCTGTCCCAGGCTGAGCATGTCACACTCTCAGAGCTGGCAGCAAAGCCGCCATTCAGCAAGCACAGGTGCCCAGCAGCCATCTGCCCAGTAACAGCCAAGGCTGCCCGTTTTACAGATGAGAAAACTGAGGCTCAGCAAGTCCATGCTGACTTACGCCCCCCGCCTGTGAGACCTGGGTTCCTACTGCCCTTTGCTGTGTGCAGGTCCTCAGGCCACTGCTGCCTCCTCCCGCCCATGGCCCGGAGATGCCACCGTCCCCCCACAGGCCCGGGGCAAGTGACAAGCTGTCACTGGGGAGCCCCATTTAGCGCCCCATCTGGCCATGCCTGGCCCGGACGGGCTCTCCGCAGGGCTCCTCACTCACCAGCAAAGTCTGTTTGCCAGATTTCCAAGTCTGGGGCTGGACCTTGGGGCTCTGGCTCCGCATGAGGGAGGGGTAGCCTGGGAAGACAGAGGCTGTGGTCAGAGGAGGCCCTGCACGCTGGGAGCCCCCAAGGCACGGACCCATCTCCAAAGAGACCGCCAAGCTCCATCCAGCCCGTTACCAAGGAGAGCCACCCCTGAGGAGGTGTGCAGCCCCGGGTCCCGCTGGGGAAACCTGGGAGGCTGTCCAAAGGGAGGGGCCCAAGGCAGACAGAAAGAGAAGGAGCAGGCGAGGTGGGCTGGGCCAGGCAGCAGGGGAGTGTCCCCCCAATCCAGGTCAGGGTCACCCCACTCTGTGGGAATTTTCTCCCCCTCCCCCCCATCGCCTCCACCCCCGTCCTGAAGCCTCACCCCCTCCCAGAGCCCAGGAAAGCCTCTTCATAGCACAGCCTGCCAGGCTCCACAGGAGGCCCCCACCCCGTGCTGCACGGAGACGGATGTGCCCTCACTGATTGGCCCGCTGGGCTCCGTGCTGGGTCTCACTGAGCCCACCCTATCTCATGTGAGCCCAGGTTTGCTGGACACCAGCCCCGCCCTCGGGCTCTGCTGCCCCTCCTGCGTCAGAGCAGGACTGGATCCCGGGAGGGGCAGCAGAGCCCTGTGGCTGTGGTCCAGGGATGAGGCCGCAGCCCCGGGGCCTGGAGCAGGGGTCCTGGGGCCCCCAGGGAGGCCTGGGAGAGCTGCGGCCCCAGGACTGGGGAGGCAGGAGCAGAGCCGGGGAAAGACCAGGCTGAGGCCTGGAAGTGAAGGGACTCAGGAAGTCAGCAGGCCCTGCCTGGCCGGGGCTCAGCAGGTGAGCCTCATCCTGGGCACCAAAGGGTTGTGGGTTCGATTCCTCGTTGGGGCACATACCCAGGTTGCAGGTTCTACCCCTGATCAGGGCATGTGTGGGAGGCAACTGATCAAGGTTTCTCTCACATTGATGTTTCTCTTTCTTGCTCTCTCTCCCCTTCTCTCTAACAATCAATAAACATAACTTTGCGTGATGTTTATAGTGTGCGACTCATGAGGTCAAACAATTAAAAAAGAAAGAAAGCCTGGCCAGTGCGGCTCAGTGGTTGAGCAGTGACCTATGAACCAGGAGGTCACAGTTCAATTCCCGGTCAGGGCACAGGCCCGGGTTGCGGGCTCGATCCCCACTGTGGGGTGTGCAGGAGGCAGCTGATCATTGATGTTTCTCTCTCTCCTTCTCCCTTCCTCTCTAAAATCAATAAAAAAACCCACAAAACATTAAAAATTTTAAAAAAAGAAATCACGTCTGTCCCTGGCGAAGGCCACCGAGAGCCCTCAGGCCTGTTTGAAGGGACAAAAGCTGGTCAGACCCAGACGCCACCGGCAGCACCGGCAGGACGCCAGCCCGGCTGCCCTTCCTTGGTGGGCACGGGGCGAGGGCAGAGACGGAGCAGAGACCCCAGGCTCCCCTGCACCTGGGGCGGGACAGCCTTGCAAAGAGAGGGTCCTGCTGACCCTGAGCAGGAGCCATTACCAGGAAGAAAACCCCGCACCAGCCGGGAGAGGGGGGCCGGGGCCGCAGGAGGAGTAGGGCAGCAGGGGGACAGTGGGCACCCACGCTCTCCCGTGTGGGAGAGAAGGGGCGGGGAACGGACAGGTACCGGGACTAATTTTAAACAGCTCATTGGTGTCCACCGGCTTGGGGAACTCTGTGGTGGCCTGTCCCAAGGTGGGGAAGTGGTAGGGGGGCCGCCCAGGGCCTGCTGGGAGAGAGAGACGTTAGCAGCGCGGGCGTTTCAGGGGCTGCCTTCCACAGCCCAAGCTCTCTGCCTCCTGAGCTGCTGCGCCAGCTGCGGGCGGGGCTGGTCCTGGGCGGGGTCTCCTTGCTCACACGCAGCCCTGCCTCCCTCCAGGGCCCTTCCCAGGGGGCTGGTGAGCTGATCTGTGGAGGTGACAGCAGGTGTCCCAGGCTTCCTGGAGGACACAGTGCATGGAAGGGGGGCTCCCCTGAGGTCAGGCCGACCGGAGGCTCTGCGGGCAGGTGAGGAGACACTGGGGAGCAGGACACCCCACCTGACACCTGCCGGGCAGCCTTTGACTGGGCCTGACCGCAGAGCAGGGAGGGACTCGTTAGAAGCCAGACAGGCCACGGGGACCCCAGTCCCCAGCTCCTGCCGGCGGGGACCCTTCACCTGGCTGATCGTTCCAAGACTCTGCCCTGGGCATAGGCTGGGTTCCAGCCTGGAAGAGGGGGCTGGAGGATGAAGCCGCCTTCAGAGGCCGCTGCCTGG